AGGAATTACATAAGATATGTAAGAACTAATTATAATCTTAATAGTGCAGTGCACACAAAAAGCAGCATGACTGGGTTCTATATGATCATATTTAAGATTAACATGAATTCTGATGTTTTAGTGTTTTCAGTAATCAAGTATTTTAGGCAGTATCTAATAATGAATTCAGTAAAATAGGAGATAAAATTTCTTTCACATGCTCAAGAATTACAGCCACTATCAATAAAGTCCAAATATCATGAAAAAAACAATAATTCAATGTATATCTTCTGTTTACAACAAAACACCATCTGTCATTCAATTTGATGAACAGATACAAGACTCTTATGAGAAAATAATAATATAATGTAAAATCAATTGACTGAGAGTATCTCAAAATCAAGCTAACAGTGTTATGTGGAAAGTTAATTAAAATGTCATGGTGGTGGTGGCACCTACCCTTAATCCCAGCAATTGAGAGGCAGAGGCAGGGGGATCTCTTTGAGTTCAAGGCCAGCTTGGTCTACAAAGAGTTCCAAGGAACAAGGAAAAGAGGGCATTGTAAACCCTAGTTCTGAAGTCACAGACTATTTTGAACTTCCCTGTGAGTGCTGGGAATTGAATGTGGGTTCTTACAAAGAGCAGATGACCACTGAGAATGGTCTTGAGTCCCTATACACATTATTTACACGTGCTTGGAAGCAAGGCATTTACAGTGCCTGGTTTTTTTTGTTTGTTTGTTTTTTTGTTTTTGTTTGTAAGAATACTAATCACCTGAGGTAATTTGGAATTTTTCGCTTGTAGCTATGACCTTGGCACCCAAGAAGTTTTGTATTTTGGATAATTTTCTATTTTATGATCATTTATGATTTGGGATCCTCTATGTGAATGAAATTATTTGACCACATCCATGCAACAGGGACATCTGTTCAACTATGTTCATAGCAGCACTATTTGTTATAGCAAGAACCTGGAAGCAACCTAGATGGCCCTCAACTGAAGAATGGATAATAAAGATGATGTGACACATCTACACAATGGAATACTACTCTGCAGAAAAAAATAATGGTATCTTGAAATTCGCAGCCAAGTGGATGGCACTAGGAGAAACCATCCTGAATGAGGTAACCCAGTCACAAAAAGAGGAACATAGTACGTACTCACTCATATATGGATTTTAAACCTAGATCAAAGGATCACAAGCCTATAATTTACACTACCAGAGGAACTAGGACACAAGGTGTATTCTAAGAGATTCATATAAAGTCCCTCACAGAAGCGGGAAGGGACAAGTCCCCCAGAGCACAGGGGAAGTGGGGGGGGCAGCGAATGGAGAGAGAAGTAGGAGAAAATGAGGGGGAGGAAAGGAAAACACTTGCGACCAGGAAGATTGACAACAATAAAATGATGTCTGTGTTCAGATTTACTTGGTTCAATCATGTTGGTGACAAATGATACCATTCTATATTGCTATATTTATTTTGATAGTGATAGATAAACCAATAATCAGGATATCCAGCACTAATAATTTCAGTGGCTGATTTCTTAGTTTAGCTCCAATCAAGAAGAAATTGGATATTTTGTAATATGTGCCTTGATTACTTGAATTTAATCTGTCAGAGTTTAGAAGAAAATGGGCAATCAAGGCTGAGAGATAAATAAGACTCATTAGCAAGTTTTTATTTTTATTATTTCTAGCATTCTTTCCTTAACAAAAAAAAAAACCACAGATACTATAGTATCACTGCTTTAACTAACATTTAAAAAGAGATATAGTAAATATTGGGGAAATGACTTTATTTATTCCTCAAAATAATGTTCATATGTTGCGAATATAGTTCATTTGGAAAAATTCTTGCCTGATATATACCAAACCCTAGATCCTGAGTATTACAGAGCAGTATGTACTTGTAATACTAGCATTTTGGAGATGGAGGTAGGAGAATCAGAAGTTCAAGGGTCATCCTCACTTGCAGTGCTAGTTTGAGGCCTATCTAAGACACATAGCTCCTTCACGAAACAACAACAACGATAATAATAAAGATAATCATAATAACATAATCTTTCTAAATGGAACAGAAGATTGTTGATGATTCAAGATAATCAAAGTTGACTCAATTTTTCTTTATAAATGATATTTCAAATGAGTAGACTGTCAGCTAAAGAACATGGTGAATGCCATCAGCCACTCTAACCTGAAACCAACATACCCAGAGATCAAGAAATACTTCACTTTTTTACCCTCAGTGTGATTCTAAGCCCTCATTTAGAGGGAGGGAGTAAGGAGTGCAATAGAACAATTCATGACAAAATATGTTCTTACGTCACAGGTGTGCAGAACACAACTGGCCTCTTGCACTAGCTGTTTTTCAACAAAATACTATAATATACCAAATATAGCATAAATACAAGTACAAGTCTTTATATGTTGAAATAAATGTTGCCTATAAACCACACAAGAAGCATCATATATCCATATAAAATGGGTTTTTTTTTTTTTTGAAGAATGTGTAGTTTGGAGTCCATAAATTGGAAACACAAACAACTAATTGTGAAATAAATATTATGCCTATCTAATACCTATTTCTATGATTTGGGGCATGACGATATATTTAAATTCTTAAGTGCACATATTGTTATTTAAATTAGGGTTTTACTATCTCATGGGACCTACTTATAAAGTGTCACAGAACCAACAATATAGAGCTTTGACATGTCAACTTATTCTTTTGAATGTAAGAATACTCAGAAAACAAACATATATTATGAAGGTGTTTGTAAATAAATTATGCTTTCAAAGATGGTTAAAGACAATTAAAAAATAAAGGCTTCAAACATTAGATGTTGAAGTTCACAATCCTCACTTAGAAAAGAAGTGGAAGATAAAAATATGTTTGTATATAGACACTTTTAATGTTTTTAAAGATGTCTGCCCTTTAAAAGTGCTATGTTTAAATAAATAGTGAGTTTAGCATAAGATTCTTTGCTCTACATATGTATGGCAGACATGGTTAGGTGGAAATGGTGTTCTAGAATGACATTTCATGTGCTCTTAATGTCAAGTTATCCTGGAGGCACTTGGTGGCCTTTCCTTGACTTTATCATGTAACTAGGCTACATATCCAGGTCTTATAGTATGTAATCCTGGATAACTTAAATGGGGGAAGGGAGGGAGTTCTCCAGTTGTCAGCTCCATATTCCTTGAGTAAGAGTAGAAGCACATTTCACCGAGAAAAGGAAGGGGACTTAATTCTTCCATTAGTTCATACATTGGAAAGACTCAGACAAAACTAGAGTTCAACGGGACTGAAAAGATAGGTAAGAAATAAGAACCACGTCAAAGCAAAGGAAGTCAGAGGTCAAGTAAAGAGGACTTTCATTCTTCAGGAATCTTACCTAGCCTTTTTTGGCTGGCAGTTGTGGGGGTCACAACTGGCTCCTTGGATAACTATACATTTTCACCAAGTCAATCCTTATATCTGAGGGGAAGATGAGGCATGATCTTCTACCCAAGAAAAGCCCTTGAAACCTTGCCCCTCTCTTTGCTGTGCAGATGGTGCACTTGGCCTGGGGATGGAAATCAGAGACATAAACTTTGTTGTCCTAGCTATTCTTGCTCCTTAAGCATCCAGCATTTGGTAATCTTCTTAAGTCTGAGAAGGGATCCCTGTGTCCTTTGATCCTGTCTGCCTTCAGTGAGAATGCATACGAGCAAAGGCAGCATAAGAGGCAGCTTGCTGTCTCCATCACTTGTCTCCATAAACCACTTCTGAATGTGGGATGATGTACCTTCTTCTCTGGCTGCTCTATACCTTTGTGAAACTACCCAAAGACACACTGCTTTTATTCTCAAATTTACAAACTCCCCCTTTCTATGCATAAATTTAAAACACTCCCCCCCCTTCCTGCATCCTTTTCCTTTCTCCAAGTTGGAATATTCACCCATCCAGTGGAGAAATCCAGGAACAAGCCAGGATTCTAGAAAGTCTTGGGATAAGAACTTGAGAACTCAGGAAGACAGCCTGGGAAGGGGCAAACCCTGGCTCCCTTGCATGCTGTGTTGAATTTCCCTTTCATCCTGTAGCCAGGTGAACCTGGGCGGCCACACTGCTGTGTCTTGGAGTTGGGATACCCCTGCAAGTTAGTCTGCTTCAGTTTATATCCATCATATCTGGACAGCTCCTCTCCAGGTGCCCGCCCATTCTTTCCATCTATATCCCAGGTCCTTTCAGGACAGTCAGTACATCTTTTTTAAATACCTAAGGAATCACCAAAGAAGTTTTTTCTTCCCTCTCACTTCCCCGCTCAGGTTTACACTGTTTGTACCCCACGTCAGGCCAAACATCTCTCAAGAAGAAAGTAAGGTTCCATAAACTTTGCCTCCACGGGACTTTCCTGCAGCGGTGAGCGAGTGCACCAGCGCTCACTTGCCTATTCACAGGCACAAATATACAGGTCAGGGAAAACAGCAGATAAGGCAGCCAGCCAGTGGGCAACTATTAAGGGTACGTTAAAGTCTTTGCTGTAGCCAAAAGGAATGCGCTGCGCTTAAGAGGCATCAAAGGAGAATTTCAAAATGGGCTTGGGGAAAAGAAGACCAGGAAATGGTGACTATAAACACACATAAAGAAAGATACCTTTTACACCTGCTGTCAGCACACAGCAGTTCTCCCGAGAGGCGCACACTTTTAAGAGAAATCATTGAGGGTTGCACCGAATATAATAAATATCCATGGCTCATATATCTTTGAACTGACAATCCCTGTTTTCCATTGGACTTCTCGCTGTGGTCAGCATGAGCCCAGCACACTTAAGGATGGAGACTCTAGGCGCTCCAGAGCCCTCCTCGGTGTACAGAGTCCCCTAGGCTAAGCGCTTCTCGGTTCAAGCAACAAGCGGACTATCTGGGGAAGGCCAGCTGCCCTGGTGCCCGCGTGGGTCACCTCTCCCCGCCCCCATCCCCAGCAGCCCGCCAGGCCACTGGAGCGGAGGGGAAGGAGAAGACCGAGTTAGCCACTCACCCCTAGCTTCCTGCTGCGGATTTTCACGTAGCCCTGCTTGACTATGTCGTTAAAGTTGGAGGCCATGGCCAGCGCGGTAGGGCTCCTCTACTGGACAATCCGCTTCTCGGAGTCGACAACCCAACCGCTGTCCACCTCCCGGTCCACGCAGGTCTCGCATCCAGCCGGCCGTCGCCGGCAGTCGCGCCACCGCCAGTTCCTCCCCAGACTCCTGACAGCGCGGACGCAGGGTCGACAGCAGGGCCGCCAAGCACCAAGACAGGGGAATCGGGCCCGGAGCTGATCAACAGCACGAGCACCTAGCGAGCGGTCGTCACCTTAGCCCCGGCCAGGAGCGGAGCGCTGTGGCCCGCGCCGCCCCCAGCTGTGCCCCCCCTCCGCGCCGCCGCCCCCGGCAGCACCCACGGGCTGGCGCCTCACTCGGCGGCGCACAGCTGGCCGGAGCGCACCATCGCGGCTCCCCGGCGCGGAGGAGGGGGAGGGACGGCAGGGCGGGCCGTTGCGCCCGCTCGGCTCCCTCCCCCTTGCCCGCGCGGTGGCTCGGCTGGAGGATGCTGGCAAGATGCACTCCATCACTCACTTCTCCGGCAGGGAGCTCCGCCTGCCACCCGCGCCTAGGGTACCGCTCCCACCACAGCCCTGTGCTGGCACCACTCGCCCAGGCGTGGATTCCTAAGGACAAGGAACATCATTCCATTGCTGCTAATCTCTCCATCTCAAACTGGGTAGTGGGGACAGAGCAGTGGGGACTGCACAGGTTCGCGGAAGGCAAGGGGGCAAAACTATTGTTTATTTTAGAGACGGTGTCTGTGATACATTTTTAGTTCTAGGCACACGTGGCCTTTTCAGGTCTTTACCCTGTTGGGAAGTGTAAATCGAAGCCAAACCCTTCCTGGTGCACACACAAAGAGACCAACCCTGCGCATGTGTCTAATCCTCAGGCTGCTGAAGTCAGAAGGAATCCGGGAGGCAGCAGGTCGCAGATGTCCTCTACAGAAAAGGCACAGACGCTTGGATTGACAATTGCCTTTTAGTTAACTAAGGTTCAACTAAGGCATTTCATTTGTAAAAGGCAGAGCCATTACCCGTGGATGCGCTGAAATGTTTAACTTGTAAAAATCAAAGGAATAAACTTTCTCTTCTTACTATAGGAAAACATACTAATATTTATGTTTTTCTCTAATGTAATGACATACAATTTTAAAGTTACATTCCTTAAGCTGATTCAAGCAAAAGGAGCATTGAGTATCGGCTGGCAGAAAATTATAGATTTTTAACTATAGTCAAGAATACTTACAGCTTAAGTTGATAGTTAAAAAAATGTGCTAAGATTGGTGGTTCCTTTATTTGTGAATAATTTATATTGAATGCATCTTCAGAAGACCACATTTAATTCTGCTTTACTTCAGGGTATTTTTCCTGGGTTCTCATTAAATTGTCTTTTTCTGTATTTGGATCATAATTCCTTAAGGGGGATACAAACTAAATTTGAGGGGAGAAAAATAATGAAAGCCTGGAGAATAGGTTACATTACCTTCACCCTCAGTCAAAGGGGCGGCTCTAAATAGACACAGAAGAGATGCTGGTCCTATACTTACCAAGAAGCTCCATTTAAATCTAATATGGCACAAGGAGCATCCTAACATGCCTCAACAGTACACACTCCTTCTACTTCATAAGTTTGGTGACCCTCCTCCCCTTCTATCATGCATGCAAACTACAATATACCAGGGTAAATGTTTAAAATAGAGCAACAAATTCCAATCAGTTGTTACTATGAAAAGTGATCAATTTCTGATCTTCCCATAAAATACACATGCTTGTTTTCATTAACCTCCATGGTTATCTCCTTTAAAAACTTGCTACATTTTTTTTCTATTCCACCCATTTTACTAATTTCACATATTTTATTTCATTTTAAATGATGCAAAGAATGCCTCACACATATCTGAATGCATTCCACCCCACACAGGGTCCTCTTTGCAATCAGAAATGTCAAGTAAAATATTCTCCCCATTTATTAGGAAGGACATTGAGGCTCAGGGGTTTTCTGTGACTGGACAACCATTTCAAGGTTGGTGTATATGATAATGTTCTTGATCATAAACACTTTCATTTACATATCAAACTTTGGCAATTGCTTTTCTCATTGCTGAGACAAAATACCTGGAAAGAGCAGGAGATATAAAGGTCATCTTGACAGGGATGGCATGGCAGCCATGTGATGATGCCATTTATTCAACACTGCATCCATTCCGTTCCCGTGGGGGAAAAGGATGCAGTACTCAACCTTCTTCTTTTTCTTCTTCTTCTTCTTCTTCTTCTTCTTCTTCTTCTTCTTCTTCTTCTTCTTCTTCTTCTTCTTCTTCTTCTTCTTCTCTCCTCCTACTGATTTAGGGCTCCAGCCCACATTCTGGATGTGACTTCCTCTCTCTGGAAACAACCTTTCTATTCTAAATCTATTCAATTTGATGGTGAAAATTAACAATCTACTTTCACAGAAGTCCAAGACTGTCTCAGCAACCATCTTAGGGCTTGATAATGTATAGTTTGTGCAAGCAACTATAACATGTAAGAGTTGTTTACTCCTCTCATATACTAACATAAAGCTATGTGTTTCTTAGAACACTGATAAGGTGAGGTGACAGGCTTAATATTTATTTATTTATTTGGGGAAGGTCACCTGCATGCCTCATTTGATTCTATAGATAGGAGGGCAACTTGCTGGGTTCATTTCTGTCCTTCCTTGGTGTAAGTTGTGGAGATGGAATGAGGTCATGACTTCTGGTGGCAAGTGCCTTTACACACTGAGCCATTTTGTCAGCCCTAGCAATAGGTTTAAATGATCTGACTATTCCCTTGCCCTAATGTTCCATTTAAAAGTCTATCATACAGCAATTCATGTGGCTCTTCTTCTATTTTAATATTTCTTCTTTATTTTCTACTTAAAAGTAGATGGTAATTTAGATTCTTTTCAGTTCTTGATCTGTATATTTTATTCTTATGGTGCTACTTAATATTTTCACTTAAGGTGATATTTTCTGTTAGCCAATAATATGATAGAGGAATTAGGTTACATTCTGGGTTTTTGTTTGCAAGAGTAATTCATGAGAAATGTTGTGTACCTCCTACTAAATCATACTAAATGGAACAAAAGGTCTAGCTGTAGAATAGATTAGAAGACTAAAATGTCATCTTGATTCATACTTTATAATGGATAAATTAAACCAAACTAAAATTTTAAGTATAAAACTAGACAATTCTTAACTAACTTCCCATCTAATGATGATGACTTTTCATAGCATTATTTCATTGGGCTCAAAAGTTCTCATTGGCTAGTTGTATTTGTTTCTTGTATAAGTTTTTATTAATTTAGTGAAAATGAAACAATCAAGCATCCTTCCTTGCAAATTAAAGGACTGTAGAGTTTTGACTTCATTAACCAAATTTCAGAATCAATAAATTGGATCTAACAATAAAGGTGTTCCTAATGATCCCCCTGTTCTCTTTGGAATATCTGTATATTTGGTGCATTTCCAACTTCAGTCAATTTTTAAAAATAGTTTGTAGACTACAAAGGGCTTCATCAGCAAGTATTTGAATCTGAATTTCTATCCTGTTGTTTTCCTCCTCTATTCTTAGACCTGTCTTTTCAAGGTGTACCTTAATATTTCAAGGTGCTATGGCCATTTAATTACATGCTACAGTTTCTGACTGACCGTATTTTCCCATGTGGAATATTCCATAAAGTATATTGGTAGCTAGTTGCATTAAGGAATTGTGTATAGATTTTATTTCTCTAAGTATTACAAATGCATTTGTTTATATAAAAGAACTTGAGATATTCAAATTAATTTTTCCCAGATGAACACAATCTTATGGAATAGATTTTGACCATCTTTTATTTCCTCAAATCAATATTTATTTCGTGAGGTTTAGTAATTCATTTCATCAAATACAGATTTGAAGTTGTAACAAGTTTTCTGATTGCTGAGACTGTTTGTAAAGTTTATGAGTTCCTCTAGTCCGGCTTCAGAAAATGGGGAAGGGAAAGTGTTATTTTTCTATTTCTATAAAAATTAAAAATTAAATATTTTACTGCTTTGACAGCAGCATCATTAGTGCATAGTACAGAAGTTAGTGCTATCATCATTTCAAAGTTGAGTTTAATTCGCCACTTGCAAAATCTTTATCTCATGGACAAAGACTGAATTCAGTTGCATTATATGCCGTGTACCTCTTTCCTATAAACTCTAAATGTTAATATTTATCTTATTATTCTTTATTTCCACTCTTGCTTGTTTCACAGTATTTTATAACCTTAATTGTGCCATCTAAAATTCACAAATTAAAATCCTCAGGATATAATAATACTTAAAGAGATAACAACATTAAAATCATTAGGGTGCCTCTAATCTAATATGACTATGTTCTTTCTAATAAGAGAAGAAAATTTGTGCCAGAGAGGCCTCAGCTGGAGAGTGCTGACCCCAGGCTAGCACTTATCTGTGAAGGAACATCCTGAGTCCTAGCCTGCTTGATCTTTGACCCCCATCGCCCCCAGACTTCTGCTAGAGGGTACTTCCTAGAGCTGTTCTGATCACACTAGATGTGCCTATCCTTGTAGGACCACCCAGAATCCCCACCTGCCTGATCTCTGACCCCACCCCTGGTCCCCTGCTGGAGTTCCAGGTCCCTCCCAGAGATCCTCCTATCCCCTCAGGACCATCCTGAGTCCCTGCCTGCTTGATCTTTGATACCCATCCCTGGGCCTCTGCTGGAGTCTGATCTTTGACCCTTGCCTGGGGAGAGACCTCCTAGAGAGTTTGGACCACACAGAGCTACAGATATTGAACTTCTGACCCACCTAAGCTCACCAGAGAAGTACCATAGAGAGAGAGAGACCCCACCTGCAACTACTGGAAGAAGTTATGGGAAGAGGGCAATACAAGATAAAAACAAACAATAGAAAGACAATCATGACACCACCAGAATCTAGGGACTCTACACCAACTAGACCTGAACACCCCAAAGCAGATGAAGCAGAAGAGAATGACTTAAAAAATATCTTCATAAAAATGATAAAGGACTTCAAAGACGATGTGAAAAAAATCTCTTAAAGAAATGGAAGAAAAAACAAACAAAAAGTGGAAGAAATGGCCCAAATATTGTCTATAAATGTTTGTTTTCATTTAAATGGACTTGGTTATATAAAATTAAAAAAAAATTAGAAGAAATGAACAAGTCTCTTAAGGA